AACTAAGGAGTAGGTTTGTACAATTGCAATTGTTTCAATCTATTTTTATACTTTTATTCAATGCAATAAAATTAATTTCATTAGATATAGAAGAATTAAAGTGTTTTTGTGAGAAACCCGAAAATGCTTTAAAATTTGATGATGTTTCGGATGTCAATGCTATAAAGATTTACTCTCAGAATTAGAGGTTTTGCAAGTTGTGTTACCAAGTGAATCGTATGAAATAAATAAACCATGAAATTACATTAAGATATTAGAGTTCGTAAAATGTATGGATGTGTTTCCAAATGTTATGATTGCTTATAGAATATTATTGACTATCTATGTTACTGTGGCATCCGCCGAAAGAAGTTTTTTGCATATTAAAGTTGTTGAAATCTTATTTAAGTACCACAATGGCTCAAGAAAGGCTTAATGCGTTAGCAATATTTTGTATTGAAAAGTATTTTATATGATAGTATAATTGAAGGTTTTGCTTTTAATAGTGCAACAAGAAGACATTTCAAATGATATTATGTTGGTGTATGATTGGCCTTTCTTTTTTAGGTGATGCTAAACCAAGGTGTTGAAGCTACAAATAAGCTAGTTGTAGGTGATGCTTAATCACGGTGATGAAGTTATAAGAAATTGAATGATAATTTGATGTTTGTATCATATAACCTTAGTTGTATTTTTTCCCTTTTTTTTTGGGTTAGGGTACTTTTTTTCCTTCGTTGGGGGGTTTTGTGCCATCGGGTTTTTTCCTAAGAAGATTTAATGAGGCCCAAAGAATCACCCATTTTGTATAAACTCGTTTATTGTAATGAGGCCCAAAGAATCACCCAACATATTTCAAGTTTCGGCTTAGGCGTCCATTTAGGCCTGGACCGGCCCTGACGGCTGTACTGGTCACAGTTTTCCACCATTGTATTGCGTTGTTTTACTTAAATTTGTAACTATATCAATACAATTTCAATTTAATATTTTGTTGTATTCCTTTGGGAGAGTTCACCATTAACAATTTTGAACATAAGGAAATACAAACGAAAAGTTTTACATAAATTGGAGAAACAATTACAAACCACTAAATAGTTCATCACGACGCGTAATATTGAGCAAGACATAATATAGATCTCGTTGACACTTATAACACAAAGACATACGATCGCCAATACCCAAAACACGATTCAACAGATTGAAAATTTGTTTAATAAGATACTACCACACCGAGTAAACGTACAAGTCGCCCAATCCATTTCCAATGTGGATTCGTTAATGTGGTTACAAATCAAATTGTTAATGTATCACGTGTAGTCCAACTTCGCAATGTTATCATAAAGGTCGGTTGCCTTAGCACCATCACTTTCTTCGTCGTCAAGTTTTATGGCGATTGGTGCAGTTCGATTGAGGCAGAGTTCCCCACCGAAATCTATCTCAGTTGATTCAATTGCAAGCACTCTTTAAAAATGTGGGATCCTTTATGAATCACACACAATCAGAGTGGTTTTACGAGTGTGATTGGGATGAAAATGTTGATAATTTTTTCATGGTGATATGCCTAATTGGGCCCACCCAATGGGCTTATAATTTATTTACCTACTGGGCCACGAGCCCAATATTAAAGACCACTATCACCGAGGTCCAATCACCTTCAAATAAGGTTTGGGCCCAACAATCTCAACTAAGCTATAAATAAAGGGTTGAACTCATTTCTTAAGGTACGTTCGATTATTCACAAGCAAACCATAATTTTATTCTCTCTACTATTTTCCACGATCCGTACATCTGACTTGAGCGTCGGAGGGGTTTCTGCCGGATCAACTCCCGGCTTAGTTCACGTGTGCTTATTTCGCAGGGACCTCAGGATCATCAAGTTGTCAAGCTACTGATCCGCTTTGCTTTCCCAGCTCGTTTTCTACACTACTCCAGGTGATCTAAGTAATTAGCATCATCATTTTGGCGCCGTCTGTGGGAACGATGCAAACCAGATCACGTAGCCAACAAGATCCTCCTGAGGCATCCACTCGGAGAGAGAATGACACAACTAACAACCTCCCAATTCGTTGAGGCTCTGGCTTGCCATCTCCTCCACGTGTTCCAGCGCCTCGCGAGGTTCAGGTGATCCCCCCTCGGGATTCACCACTCGCCGATCCACCACTCCCTGCTCCACGAACGGTTCAAATAACCGAGGATGCGCTCCAGCGCATGATAGCAGAAGCCTCAACTCGCGCCGCCACAGAGGCCGTGACCCAATACATCGCCACGATGGGAGCAAATGCTCCCAACGCGATACCAGCACCTGCTCCACCTGTTGAGCCACCTATGGCACCACCGCCAGTCCAGAACCAAATAAGTGTCTCCTCCTCTACCTTGGACCCACGATCCCGAATGCAACAATCTACTCATCGCCAAGATGCACGAACTCGGCGACGAGACCCACGTTCACCTTCAAGAGGCAACGCCTCTCACCAACGAGCTCCTTCACACAATGGTGGAGATGATGAAATTAGATCTTAGGTATCTCGCTCAAATCACCTTCCCCACATAGGTAATCCCATTGGTGGAAGGGCAATACCTCGAGTAAGTCGCAATCCCTTCGCTGTCGCAATAATCAATGAGATACTACCCCAACGGGTAAAGGTCTTGAGTCTACCGCAGTTCGACGGAACTAGTGACCCACATGAGCACCTTGAAAAGTTCTACGCCATGGCAGATTTATATGGCCCAACTGATGCGGCGATGTGCAAGATGTTTCACACAACGCTCTCCGAACGAGCATTGAGCTGGTTCAACTCCTTGCCCACTGGGTCAATTGAAGCTCTCTCCCAACTAACATATCGCTTCACCCACCATTTCGCTATCAACAAAGAGTACGCTAAGAATCCCGCGTACCTCTTCACTATCACCCAGAGAGAGGGCGAGACCCTCCGCAACTACATTCAACGATTTGTAGAGGCATCTGACAAAGTTCCTAACGTGGGAGGAAGCATGCTCGCTGGAATCATTCAACAAAACTTGAAGGAAGGTAGATTCAAGGAATCTATTGCAAGAAGACCTCCAACCACTCTAGAAGAGTTACTAAGTCGCGTTGAGAAACACGTTCCCATCGAAGAGGCTTCGGCCCACCCTCCTCCCAAGAGGAAAAGAGATGAAGATTACTTCAACACCCGGTGACGAGATGGCCGACGACAATCGTCAACATCTCATTGATAATCTCTCTCTGCGTCCTTGTACTTCCAATGATGTCAATAACACTTAGAGTCTATCGAGCCTATAACATTGTTCGTAATCACATCATCCTAAACTGGGGGGCTATCATACCTCAAGGGTGATGCATCCCCTCACATCTCGACATCAATTGAACGAAACACCTACATCATCTACATAGTACAAGTTTATTTATTTCGAGCGATTCGCTCCCTACTTGTTTATTTACCTTCGCCTCAAGTAGGCTCGTAAGCTTCACCTTTTCGATCAATGAATAAAGCTAGTTATTTCCTTTACTCTCGGTGTTATTGCTCTTTCACCACAAAATTATTAGCTCAAGTCAACATAAAATCTGGGGGTTTATAGTGCCCCCAAAATATTTCGTTCGCCAAGGGTTATCGACTCCCTGGGGGCTTACAGTGCCCCCAAAACATTTTGTTCACCAAGGGTTATCGACTCCCTGAGGGTTTATAGTACCCCCAAAATATTTCGTTCGCCAAGGGTTATCGACTCCCTAGGGGCCTACCTCCGCCCCCCCTCGAACGGTTCAGATAATCGAAGAGGACCTTCAGCGTATGATCGCCGAAACTTCAACAAGATCAACTTCTACTTGCTCCTCTAACGGTTCAGACAACCGATGAGGACCTCCAGCGTACGACCGCGAAAGCTTCAACTCGTGCCGTCACTGAAGCAATGGCACAACCGTGCGCATCCACCTCAGACCCTAGTGGGGGGTTATCCCATCCTAAGGTTGGGCATCACCCTTACCTTTCAACCCCAAGTAGGTTCACATCACATCTGAAGAGACGAGTATAATCTTCCTACTCAAAAAATAGAACATCCCCAAGGGGTGAACATCAACCACAAAAAAAAAACGGGGGGTCAAATCGCGCGCGCGAGACCCAAGAACAAGAAAAAGAAAAACGAAGAGAAAAGAAAGTGTGGCGCGCAATCCAAAAAAAAAAGAAGGAAGCAGCGCGTGCACAGTGTGATTGGGATGAAAATGTTGATAATTTTTTCATGGTGATATGCCTAATTGGGCCCACCCAATGGGCTTATAATTTATTTACCTACTGGGCCACGAGCCCAATATTAAAGACCACTATCACCGAGGTCCAATCACCTTCAAATAAGGTTTGGGCCCAACAATCTCAACTAAGCTATAAATAAAGGTTTGAACTCATTTTTTAAGGTACGTTCGATTATTCACAAGCAAACCAGAATTTTATTCTCTCTACTATTTTCCACGATCCGTACATCTGAGTTGAGCGTCGGAGGGGTTTCCGCCGGATCAACCCCCGGCTTAGTTCACGTGTGCTTATTTCGCAGGGACCTCAGGATAATCAAGTTGTCAAGCTACTGATCCGCTTTGCTCTCCCAGCTCGTTTTCTACACTACCCCAGGTGATCTAAGTAATTAGCATCATCACATAGAGAATCTCGCATTTCAAAAAATGCAATTTTGATTGAGTTTGGATTGGATTTTACTTATGGCTTTTGCTTGCAAAAACTGCAAGAAATCGAGCTCCGATTTAAAACATTTCATTGGCTTTTGGCAGAGCCGGATATCGTTTACAGCTCGGATCAAAATGTATTGTGCGCAAGTGATATGACATGGGGTATGCGGTAAATGTATGATAGTATATATATATACATATATATATATATATATATATATACATATATATATATATACATACATATATATATATATATACATATATATATATATATATATATATATATATATGGCCGAATGACAAATAGGCCCATCACATGGGACTTAAATGGATATTGGTCCACAAAAAAAAGAGTCTTTCAAATAAACTCATCCCCATGTCTTTAGTCTAAAATACCCTCCATAATATAATTCTTATCAATTCCATCCATGGACTTCCCATTAATATTTGCCATTCTATCGTATGCTTTGTATGCTCGAATTGTTGACAACCCATTCAATGCTTCTCCAAACTGTGCATATACTGGAGATCTGGTGATAGAATCCAGACGTTTTACTTCCCGGGATGTGCTCTGCAGTTGATTTTGTGGATGAAAATAAATTTAGTACTTTTTGATCTTTGAGAAATTTGTATGACAAACACCGTGTGTGTGTGTGTGAGAGAGAGAGAGATTGACGGACCTGATAATAGAGATAGGCAGCGTAAAATAAGACGAGAAGGGGCATTATGGCCCACAAAGATATAGTGCTCACAATTCCTATGAGCACAAAAGTTGAAAGCAGCTGCCACAGTTGGCTTAGAAACATATTGACCATACTTGCAACATTGCGGTCAACATCACCAAGATCCTTTGCAAATCTATTGATTACTCGTCCTGTAGGATTAGTATGGAAGAACAGCATTGGAGCTCTGAGTATGGAATATAGCATTGAATCATGAAGTCTTTTAGCAGCACCAAGACTTGAAGTGATCAACCAAAACGAATTTGTCAACGTCACTAGCACCTGTATACATACAGTGGCATTTCAGATTAGACAAAAAGCTGAAATATACAAGCAAAAGGGACTTTGGAGCCAGATATAAATTAGACAAATACCTGACCAAAGGATAATATTGCATAAACAAGGATATAGAAACCAGGACCGTAACTCGCTGAAGTGCTCTGTTTTGTCCAAAAACTCAACCATGTGCTACTTGAAACTCGCAGAATTTCAGTCAGTATATAGCATGTAAACAATATCATTACAACCCACAATCCTCCCATAGCATTTTTGTACCTGAGGAAGCGGCAAATCAGAAGAAACAATCATAAGCATCTTATGCAACATGCATGTTATCCACACCAATTGGAACAGAAAACAATCTTTCCAAGCATTATCTAGCAAATTACGACACACTATAAAAGTTATAGTACCACTTAATTACGACACAATCTTTCCAATCTTTCCAAGCATTATCTAGCATTATCTAGCAAATTACAGTAACCCCCTGGTACTATTGTACCCTTAATTACAATTTTCAGCAAACTGTATTCAGTATTTCGCCCCTGCATTCAGCATAATGCCCAACTGTATTTAGTATGTTTGGGCCTGCATTTATCAATTTATATACTCCAGATTTTTCGAGCAGATTTTTCGGTATTAATTTCTGGCAGATTTTTTGGGCCTGCATTTTTTAATAAAAAAATATAAATGTTTATTTTTTTATTATTTTTTATATATATACCCTCTTTTGTTTTTATTTATTTATTATTTTTTAATTTTTTTAATTTTTTTTTTAATTTTTTTAATTTTTTTTTAATTTGTAATTTTTATTAATTTTCAATTTTTTAATTTTTTTTTTAAATTTTGTTTTAATTTTTTTTTAATAAAATTTACTGTACTGAAATTGACTACACATGACTATAATATACTACATATAACTATAGTATACCACAATCATTTATAGTTATATGTATTCACTTCGCCGCATCTTATTCTTTTCATCTCATAAAATTATACAAATAGCAAAACCTGCGACCAAAAATACGAGTTAAAGAGCAAAATGGAACATGCAAGTTAGATTATATGAAAAAATACAAAAAAAAAAAACAATGATTTTTTGATAAATTTACCGCACTGAAATCGATTACAAATGACTATAGTATACTACCAATTCTATAGTCATGTATAGTTATATGTAGTCATGACTACATATGACTGTATATGACTACATATAACTGTATATTCACCTGAATCAAATTACCCATCCAAGTAACCACTATTGATTAAATTTCTACTACAGCCAAACTAATTAAGTTGCACATGATCCATTTCAAGAGAAAGTAGTTAAGAGAGTACTAATCAAGAAACAATGTTGTAGAATAAGTCAAACATACATACGCATGACATGTCTAGCCGAATGGGCTTCATCGTCGGTGGGGAAGAGGGTGAGGACTTTCTCTCCGTTCGCCGCAGCTGCCGATTCCAAACCTTCAGTGGTGGCATAGGCTGACATTACATGAAAAATACCAAAACAATGAAAAACAATTTTTTTTAATAAATTTACTGTACTAAAATCGACTACAAATGAATATAATATATACTACAAGTTCAATAATCATGTATAATTATATGCGGTCATGTACCTTCTTTTTGCCCCTATCTCCATTTTCCGAACAATTCACCAAGAAATTGAGTACAGGAAAAAAAAAATCAAACACAATATAACTAAAATCATTAATAAAATTAAAATCACACACAAAATCCATCTTTTCTATTGATACAGAACCTGTATAACTAAATGCCTAGTGTGTATTGACATAATAATACAACAACCGTTAATGGAATTAAAATAATAATACCTACAAATTACCACTATTGCACAAGTCTCAATCATCGACACACCAACAATTGTCCATGGATGATAAGCATTCCAGGAAGCTATTCCCAGCAACAATAATGACAAAAAATTCTTATGCAAAAGCTCATATGGAAATCAAAAATTCAGATTACTAACAGAGAAATGGTATCTAGTGAAAATAAAATATGGAGGACATAAAGTTTTATGAGATTTACATCGTTCTTCTAGCGAGAAAAATAATCAGAGAAGATCTAGCAAAGGGGCGCGTGGCGGTGGGCGGCGATGTCACCGAAAGGGAGAGCAGCGCATGACGAATGGAACGTGGCGGTCTGGTAGTGGACGGCTGAGTGGCGGTGGTCGGCAGAGGGGCTGTGGCATGTGGATGTAGAGAGATGGAGGAGAACGTGAGTTGATAGAGAGAGATGGGAAAAACGAGATCTGCTTAGTAGATCGTGGGGTTAGATTATTGAGTTGGAACTCAAAGGGCAAAATAGGTACTTCAAGTTGTACAGGGGGGTCTACCTAATTAAGTTCAGAATTTGGGTTTTTGACAATGACAAAAAAAAAACATTGGGACTCATATTTATTTTCAAAACTAGGGGATTATCCCACATTTCCATATATATATATATATATATATATATATATATATATATATATATATATATATATATATATATATATATATATATATATATATATATATAAAAATCGGCCGAGGCGGCCGATTAATCGGTCGCCGAGGCGGAGGCGGTCCAAACCCTTTACGATTTTAGTGTAAAGGTTTGAAAAATCGGGTTTTTGCCTGTGAGGCGGTTTGAGGCAGTCCGATGCGGTTAAACATTTAAGGTGGGTCAAACTTCGTTAGCATAAATCGGCAAAAAATCGGTCAAAAATCGTTTTTTTTTTTTTTTTTTTTTTTTTTTTTTATATATAAATCAAAATAAAAGTTGGGATTTAAATAAAAAAAAAATGAGTTTATGCTTTATTTTGTTTATGTTAATTATTATTGTTAAAGAACTAATGATGTATGCCAAGAATGTATGTAAATTCAAAAAAATTGCCTTTTTATTTATATTTTATAAGGATATTTATGTATTATGATCTTATTATTATTAAAGTTTTATTATGTTATTAGAATATATACATGATGGAGATATAACTATGTTTAAATATTTTTTTATCTATGTTTTGAGTATTTATAAATAATATCTACAAATATATTATATTAAATTTTAAAAACCGATTTATTTCCGATTTATCACCGATTAATCACCGCCGCACCGATTAATTGTGAGTCGGTCCCTGACCGCCTCTGACCCGATGACCGCTTTTTCCAACCTTGATATATATATATGTTTAATATTACAAATTATTTTTATTTCGGCACATATATTCTGTGGACAGAATATGGAATTTGCATTGGCGTACCGCTATCAAGAAGAACCAAAATAGGAAAAGCTGAAAGCCATGATTAGATCGTCATCAAATGGTGGAAAATTACTTGATAATTCGGCACATATATTTTGAAGAGTTTAGTTACTTCTCTTCTTAGGTTAAAACTTGAAATTCAGACACAATTAAAATTTGTTAATAAGAAAGAAAGTAAGCATAGATAAGTATCCCACATAGAAAAAAGACCCAACTATGAACTTAGAGCCGAAGAAATAAATAGAAGCGCACAACCCATGTAATTCTCACGCAGTTGCGAGGTAAGCACATAGCGAACTATTCTTTCGCCTTTTACTAAAGAATACCGTGTGCTTGCCGCTTTTCAAGCAGCATACGCCTCTTTTTGGAGGGTTTTTTTCTCTTTAGGAATTAGCCCCATTAATTCTAGTTTAAATGTTTTTGTAAACATCAAAATTCTGCATATATTAAAGTTGCCTGATTTTAATCAACCTCTAGATTCGAAATCACTTTCTTATAAATAGAAGGCTTGGCCATAATTAACAAAAACATTGTTTAGTCGTAGAAAGAGGGGAAAGGGTCACACTGTTCGACGAATCGTAGATGTTGTTGGAGTAAAGGATGGTCAACAAGGGCGTTGTAGATTTTTATCTAGGAACATGTGTCTAACTGAATAACGAAAGTTTCGTAATTCTTTTTTTATCAAACATCAAATTTCTGCATATATTAAGGAAAATGCGGCCTCTATATATAGTAGAACCGATTCACCCCGGTTATATATGTTTTCTCAAGCTTAAAGCATATTTTCATTTCTGATATATTAATTTCTCAATGCCACACGATAGGAAAGTTTAGTTAGACTAACATTAAGAGAGGCTTTTCTTGATAGCAATAACATTGTTGTGATCATGATCAAGGTTGTAAAAGGCGGTAATCGGGTCCGAGTCGGTCAGGCACCGACTCACGATTAATCGGTGCGGCGGTGATTAATCGGTGATAAATCGGAAATAAATCGGTTTTTAAAATTTAATTTAATATATTTCTAAATATTATTTATAAATACTCCAAACATATATAAAAAGATATTTAAACATAGTTATATCTCTATCATGTATATATCCTAATAACATAATAAAAGTTTAATAATTATAAGATCATAATACATAAATATCCTTATAAAATATAAATAAAAAAGCAAAATTTTTGAATTAACATTTATTCAGGTCTTTAACAATAATAATTAACATAAACAAAATAAGGCATAAACTCATATTTTCTTTTATTAAAATCCAACTTTTATTTTGAATTAAAAAAAAAAAAAAAAAAAAAAAAACCGATTTTTAACCGATTTTTAACCGATTTTTGACCGATTTTTGCCACGGAGTTTGACCCGCCTTAAAGGTTTGACCGCCTCAGACCGCCTAAAACCGCCTCACAGGCAAAAAACCGATTTTTCAAACCTTTACACTAAAATCGTAAAGGTTTTGGACCGCCTCGGCCGATTTTTAGAACACTGATCATGATAATACTGTGATATTTGTAAAATTCACGCAGTGCTTCTTTTTGGAGGGTTAATTTGCATTTCGGAAATTGCCCCATCAATTCAAGTTCAAATTTATGTATCCCTCATCAAAATACTATGATTAAGTTTAATTGATGTGTATTGCTAATTTATTGGCCGAGGATAGATGGATTTGGCACCATTCTACGGATGGTCGTTTTTCTGTGAAATCATGTTATCACAGTTTGTTGTCTAGGGAATTTGCATTCGAAGCCCGTAAAATGGATAATGATGGATCTGTTAGCGGAGTAGCGAAACGCAAGTGGAAAATGGTTTGGAATCTCTTGGTCCCGCCGAAAATCAAAATTTTTTTTGGCGCTTTTGCTTGAATATTCTACCGACCAAAGTCGAATTGTTTCAGAGAAAAAATACTACTGATCCATATTGCCCGTGGTGTGGTGTTGAGGTGGAAACGAGCTTACATACTTTTATTTTCTGTAGAGGAATGAGAGAGATTCGGCAACAACCCTCGTTTTCCATTATGTATGATATTTCAGCTGTGTCGGCA